CAGGTGGCCGCTCATGGTACCTGCATCAGAAAGGTAGATTCAGTCTGAGATTTAATTTTAATATGAAATCTGCATTACAGCCAGAGCCACCATTGGGTGATGTGCCAAAATTCATGTCTGCAGCATGATTTATTATGTGAAAATACCACAGAACTAATCAGTGGAGTTACTAATTAATACAAATCTGCATTTTTGCATAAGCAATTAGTGCAAGGAGGAAGCAGTGAAAGAGGAAGTTGGACTCTTTAATCTCAGTGTCTATTCAAGTGGAAAGACCCACCAGGGCCAAACTCCAAGATCTACATTTGGAATTTTCCCACTTTGATGAGTTAAAGACACAAAAGGTCAAATTATCAATATTTAATTCAAGTGGAAACACATCTTTTGAGAGAAGAAAGAAAACATTTTATTTAAAGAAGGTGAAACTCTAGGGGTGAATTCTCGAACCTAAAATAATTATGCCTTTAAATGACAATGATGTCTCAACTGCCGATGGGGATTTTGTTTGCTAATCATATTTGGAAATAACATCAATAAATATATGTTCTGATTAGAATGCAATCTGCTTCCAAAGCGGTCAGGCTTCTCTTTTATTCCCACATTGCCTTGATCTGTCCCAATCTAATGGGGAGTGTGATGCACATTTTTTGTTGAAGGTGCTTGCTCTTCCCAGAATTGCAGCACAAGACTGTGTTTTCCAGCGTATTCTAGAGTAGCCATTTGTACCAATGCAGTATTTAAATCCTTGTGATTTATCAAATCTGAGAAAATAATATAATTTTCCCCACTAATAGAAATCATTTATGGTGTAAAATAACCAGAGAGTTGATTTGATAATTGTGATAAATAAGTATTTACATCCTCAGTAAAAATAGAATCAAAACCATTTTAGAGGCGTTTTATTATCTCCACAGAAGCCCCGTGGCAATTAGGTACAAATGTTAGAATACTGGCTTTTTTGGAAAACCATTCAATTTCTGTCTTTGTTTCAGACACACTGGCTGGAATTGGTTTAATCTCTCCCTGCTCCACATCAGGATATCCAGGTTTCCAGGAAACTTACTCTGTTAAGGTCGTTAACTAGATTCAGCCGTGCGAGGCTCTCGGACTAAAGGTGACCAGTGATTTGGCAAAAGAAAGCCATTAGGAAAAAAGCGAAGGACATCAGGGAAGTTCTCACTAAATCTGAAAGCCAGTTTCCGGAGCCACAAGGTAGGAGTTGTCCACGGTGCTGATACTCTCAGGAAGCCCTTTCCCTGGCGTCCTCTGGGCTCTAAGCCTGGCCGGTCAGTTTCTTCTATTTTGCCTTTAGACCCTTGCTCTGCTCCTTCCTCAGCCTAAGGTGTCGGCCATTGTTAAGGGCATCGCCAACTCTTGACTCCTGAAGCTACATCCATCTACAAGGGGTTTTTGTTACTTTTTTTTTCTTTTCTGTTATGGCAAAGGCTGGCAAATAGCGGGTGCTTGAGGACCCTTTTGAACCACAAGCTGTTCTTCACTTGGTGAGAAATGGAGCCCTGAGCACATAGCTACCCCACGCACAACATACACAGCACTGATACTCACATCTATGCTCTCAAATGTTCGAATACACGTCGACAACCACGCACATAATCACTTATCCACGATTATACAATCCCACATGTGCTCATACGTTCGCACTCAGATTCACACGCTTGAACACTCAACCACAATCGCACATTAACACATTTGCACACGCAGGCTTTCTGACAACAAACGTGCCTGAGATCGGCGTCTGCCAAGGTGCTCTGGCGGCGTTTATTTTTATGTTGTTGATTCCAAGTGCTGAATGGATTTAAAGGAAGCCCCTTAATTCTGACAGGGAGGCAGAGGTGTATTCTCTTGAGGTCTGTTGGCGCCAGGAGGGGGGCCACTAAGTCCCCAGCGGGATCCAGAGAACGTAAATAATAAATAAAAGGGCCCAGGCAGGCCGAGCTGGGGAAGCCCTGCACTAAATCACTCTCCAAATCACAGCCTCGTCCTCGTCCATCCAATAGCTCTAAGCAATTTATGGAGTTGGGGGTTGGAATCAATTTTTTTTCCGTTCTCGCAGGTGCAATATGAATCAATTATCTTAATTAAGATTATGCCGCAAGCCCTGGAGATTTGGGGAGAACGGGTTTTGCGCTCCAGGCGATAGCGAGGCATTTTAATAGCGTCTCTCTTGCTCCTGGCTCTCTCCTGTCGTCTGCCTGTCGAGTCCAGGCAACTCCAGCTTCTGGCCAGGACCTTGGAGTCCAACCGCCTCCTGAGAGGCTGAGCAGCAAAGCCTGAGTCACTCCAGTGTTCTGATCCGAACTAGCATCCTCTGGCCTTCTAAGGGCCTTGCAGCTACTGGACCAAAGTGAGGGCTTTAGTTCTCAGCGCTGGCCCTCGTGACCCACTGTGCCCCAAGGTCTTCAAGTACTAGCTGTTCTGGATACCAATGGCCTCCTGCGGATGGAAGGTGCCCAGGCCAGGCCTCCTGACTCCAGGGCCCTCTGGGAGAGGCTCAGGAGACTCTTGAGTCGATGGGGCAGCCATGGACACACTGGGTCCTTTCATGGAACGCAAGCATCTGTTTCTGAGAAAAAAAAAAAAAACAGGTCACCACCCGGGACGCTGCCAGCCGCGACCCAGCTCTTTATCTTAGCTCTGTGAATGTGCTCCCGCCCCACGGCCAGGCCACCCTCCTCTGTCCCCTCCTTTTTCCTATCCCTCCCCAGGCTTCTGCTTCCCCGCGGGCGCCCAGGGCTGCGGCTGTAACTGCCTGGACGCGGGTCCAGTGCCGCACTGGGGACTAGGACCGGCGGGGTGGCAGATTTAGGGCATTGCTTGAGGGCATTGAGTCATGAAAAGCGGCTTTTGTTGCCTGCGCGTGCAGCTCGCGTGCCGCCCGGCTGCCTAGGGCGCCCGGTGGGGCCAGAGCTGGGGGAGTGCGGCTACACGCCCCGCCACCATGCCAGCAGATTCAGCAGCGCACAGGGGCACTGTGGCCAGGGACATGGGCCCCAGCGGTGGACTCCACCGCGCCTCCGCCTCCAGCTGGGTACAGTTCAGATGGCCTTATGGTCTTGTCCCCTGCCCCAATACACACACAAAAAAACCAAAAACTGAACTGCCATCCTTATTAGGCAGTCATTGCGTCCAGAGAGTTCAGGGGGCACTTTCCGGGCGCCTTGGTGTTTGTGACTCGGACTTGGTTTCAGGGCCACATCACAGTGCAGCAAGCTGGGAAGCTCGATGAAAGACCTTACTTCAGGTCCCAGGAATATCCAGATGTAGCTTTTCCTTTCAGAAATCCATGAGCCATCTCGTCCATCCTGCCCCAACAACTATTCTGTAGCTTCCTCCAAAATGTAGAAGTGAGAGCGAGGATCCTTGTTACACATCAATGAACCAAGATATGCTAGCTCTTCCGAAAAGGGCGGCAGCAATAAGATCTTCACGGAGCTTAGACCTCAAGGTTTAGGCCGGGACCTAGCATTCTGAAGTCTCCGTGGTTTAAACTCAGCACCCAGAGTAAATACAAGGACAGTGCTTCTTGCTCGCTCTGCTCTTTGCCGGTTGACAGAACAAAGAAAAAGCAAAGCTCCAGGCAGTTCTGCTCTGGAACCCCAGAACGATTGGTGTCATGTTTTGGACCACCAAAGAACTCCCCACAATGCCTTGCTTTTCTTTTTAGATTCGTTCTGGGTCTGGAAGGCTACATCCAATACCTTCCAAGTGCTCAGGATCTCCTTAGAACTCTTTCTCCCTCCTCCTTCCCAGATGTACCCCCACTCCAGCCGCTCAACCCTGACACTGTTTGCAAACTCTAGGGCAATTGCCTTTGCATAAGCAAAGTAGGATGCATTCATTGCAAAGGGATTGGAGGAGAGTAAGAACTTAATGAAGAATTAGAAGAGGAACTGGAAGAGAAAGGAGCCAACCATTCCTCCTCCTCCTCCCCTTGCATTCTTTCTTGCACCAGAGGTGTGGAGGGGTATCCTTCTGGAACATGACTTGCTCTGATGGAGAAAATAAAGAACAGTTATTTAAGAATAGATAAGGCTCTTTCTTCCAGAATAGGCTTTGCTTGACTCAAAAGATAGAGAGGCCCGGTCAAATCAAAGGCTTGGAGATTCCTCCAAACAAAGGTGTGCTAATAGTTGCTAGAGGAAAAACGATGCAGCCTCTCTTTGAGAGTTTTCTGACCCAGGATTCCAAGGCCTTGTGAGATTTAGCACCATGGGCTACAGGAAGACAGTGATTGAGATTATGTCTATGTCAGGAACTAAATGCCAAGTTGGGGCCACAGGGATGTTGGATCTCAGCATTCCTTAGACAGGCTAGGTGAGGTCATGTTTTACTACAAAAGCTTCTGAAGGCCAATGGAGCCAAGGCCTGCTGGCAAAACTAGCTTTAGGCACAAAATTCTAGTGGTCAGATTTGAAGACTGTCTTGTCTCCAGGGACAAGAGCAGCTGAAGACTAGGAGGATAGGAAGGATCACATTTTGGAAGTCCAGTGGCAGGTACAAAATTTCTGTCTTGTAGAGGTAGGAAGAGGGTGATCTAGTCAGAAAGGTTGAGAACTAGTCAAAGCTGCGTTTCCAGATGAGGTCATTTTTATATGAAATATACGATTGCCTTGAGGGGTGATAAAGATTAGAAGCCAGCCACCTCTTGGTGCCAATGAGCAAAGCGTCTGCCAAGGGATAGAAGCCAAGAGATGGGCCTCTCTGAGAGGACAGAGAGTCAAGCTGCACCGGAGACCATTGTCAAGGGGAGATTCTTCAGCGCACCTCAGTCTCCCCAGTTGTGCCTGGTTCACCCTTCCCGCGCTAAGGCAGGCTTCAGGCTAGGATCTTAACCTTTCCCGCTCGCCTCCAGGAAACCCCTCCCCAACGTCCTCTGCCTTCTGCCGCCACAAAGGGTTAATCTCTCCTGCGGGTAAAAACAGGTCCGCGGAGTCTCTAACTGGCGACAGATGGGCCACTTTCTTCTGGCCACAAAGGGGCCGGAATGGAGCGCTCCACGGCATACAAATAGGCAGGTCACGTGGTTCCCGGCTCTTGGCTGGACCGGGAAGACCATATGGCGCATGCCGGGGAGGAAGGAGCAGGGGCGGAGGTACTGTGGGGGTGAGGGGAGTGGTGGTGGAAGGGGGCGGGAGGGAAGTTCTGGGGAGGGGTGAGTGGGGGCGGGAGGCGCTCAGCCCGGACGCGTGCGCGATTGCGGGGCGCAGGGACCTGCTCGTTGCTCAGCTCGCGGCCCCGCCCGCGCTCAGCATCAGCAACACGGCTATATAACCCTAGCGCCCGCGCCGCCGGGACACGAGGAATTCGCCCACGCAGAAGGCACGGTGTGCCGAAGCTCCAGGGTTATGAGATCGTCACTGCTCAGGACCTTCTAACAACAGGTAATTATGATTCCTATTTTTTCCTCTCTCGAGAATAAAAGCATTAATTGAAGAACTGTACCTTGGTACTTTGCATGCGCACATTCGTGGAGCCGGCTGTCTGTGTGTTGAGACCAGTGTCCCTCCCCGTAATTGCCCACAAGTACTTGCACATAATGAGTCCCAGCACTCAAGTACCCCCTGCAGGCTTTCTAATTAAATTTAATTTTTAATAGTATAGGAGCTTTTAGGATGTTTATGGTGGGGGGAGTAACTGTAATTATTTGTAAGCGATTATTTGAAAGTCCCCAAAGCAAACAACCACTTCACGTTCTCACTTACTCTGGTGAGGGAAAGAGAGAAAAATGCCAGCTGCCCAGAGTTTTATTTTGTGTACAGATATTTAGGCGCACTGTGAATATGAAACTATCTATGTCAAAGGGATGGAGTACACACACCCTGGACAACTAATCAGACTCTGAGATAGTTTAGCTCAAATGTGAGAGGAGAGAGAGGGAGGAAAGGGGACTTGTGCTACCTGTTACTGCCCCAGAGGCGGCTAAGTCCCCAGCAGCCTCTGCTGGGGCCAGTCAGTTGTTTTACTCAAGGCTTTTTACAGTCCTTATTAGAAGCGGCACCTTCACCATCGCCAATCGCTGACCATTGTAATTACTCAATCTTTTAAAGGGAGGTTTCAGGCGAACTTTGAAAAGCCCCAATAAAGAGCAGGCGGCCCTTTCAATGGGCTGTTTATTAGAGAGGAGCCTTCGGCACCTGATCCCCGGCGCGTGGGAGAGCCTCGCCTGGGAGCCAGAGCTTTTGTACAAGGTGGGAATTTAGCAGGGGGTGTGAGGAGAGGAAAGAAAGGCCAGGGACGGATGGAGGACTTGTGCCCACTTCTGTGGCCAAATGTGCCGTTGATAGGAAAATAATTTGGTAGAAACTACTTTTCCTCGTGCACTGGCTCTCCAATCTCCCTCCTGCATAATCTTCTTACAAATCGGGGTCAGTGTTAGTAAATTACGTAATGGCTCTTCTATTTATTTAAACCTCTAAGTACCGAGAATCCAGAACAGAGATGGGTTCAGAATGTTCCATTTCCAAACTAATCGTTTTTGTGAGTTGGGAGTGACTTGGGACACATGCAGAAAAACATGTACACTGAACTTGTTTCCACACACTGCAGGCATCAGGCCAGACAGTCAATCGCCTTGCACACAGTTAAGTTGATCACTAGGAAACGTACCCACAGCCATTCCTGACAGCCCCAGCACTATCTACTACGCACCAGCGAGGCACAAACATGCCAGCATGAAGCGCTGCCTTTAACTTTTCCTAGAGGCATCCATTTTGCAGTGGACTCCTGTGCATTTCTATTCGTGTGCATTTCTGCAGGATTAGGGAGAGGGAGCTGAAGGCTTATCTAGCTTTTAAATGTAGTGAGGTTTTGTTTTTTTTGTTTTTCCTTTCTTCTTTCTGCTTTGCCTCTCTCCCTGTTGAATACAGGAAGTCAAAACATGACCAAATCATACAGCGAGAGCGGGCTGATGGGCGAGCCTCAGCCCCAAGGTCCCCCAAGCTGGACAGACGAGTGTCTCAGTTCTCAGGACGAGGAACACGAGGCAGACAAGAAGGAGGACGAGCTCGAAGCCATGAATGCGGAGGAAGATTCTCTGAGAAACGGAGGAGAGGAGGAGGATGAAGATGAGGACCTGGAAGAGGAGGAGGAGGAGGAAGAGGAGGAGGATGATCAAAAGCCCAAGAGACGGGGCCCCAAAAAGAAAAAGATGACCAAGGCGCGCCTAGAGCGTTTTAAATTAAGGCGCATGAAGGCCAATGCCCGTGAGCGGAACCGCATGCACGGGCTGAACGCAGCACTGGACAACTTGCGCAAGGTGGTACCCTGCTACTCCAAGACCCAGAAGCTGTCCAAGATCGAGACACTGCGCTTGGCCAAAAACTACATTTGGGCTCTGTCAGAGATCCTGCGCTCCGGCAAAAGCCCTGACCTGGTCTCCTTCGTTCAAACGCTCTGCAAAGGCTTGTCCCAGCCCACCACCAACCTGGTCGCTGGCTGCCTGCAGCTCAACCCCCGGACTTTCCTGCCGGAGCAGAACCCGGACATGCCCCCGCATCTGCCGACAGCCAGCGCTTCCTTCCCGGTACACCCTTACTCCTACCAGTCCCCGGGGCTACCGAGCCCTCCCTATGGCACCATGGACAGCTCCCATGTCTTCCACGTCAAGCCGCCGCCACACGCCTACAGCGCGGCCCTGGAGCCCTTCTTTGAAAGCCCCCTGACTGATTGCACCAGCCCTTCCTTTGACGGACCCCTCAGCCCGCCTCTCAGCATCAATGGCAATTTCTCTTTCAAACACGAACCATCCGCCGAGTTTGAAAAAAATTATGCCTTTACCATGCACTACCCTTCAGCGACCCTGGCAGGGCCCCAAAGCCACGGATCAATCTTCTCTGGTGCCGCTGCCCCTCGCTGCGAGATCCCCATAGACAATATCATGTCTTTCGATAGCCATTCGCACCATGAGCGAGTCATGAGTGCCCAGCTCAATGCTATCTTTCACGATTAGAGGCACGTCAGTTTCACCCTCCCTGGGAAACGAACCCACTGTGCTTACAGTGACTGTCGTGTTTACAGAAAGCAGCCTTTTTGCTATGATTGCTGCAAAGTGCAAATACTCGAAGAAGCTTCAAGTGATATATGTATTTATTGTCGTTACTGCCTTTGGAAGAAACAGGGGATCAAAGTTCCTGTTCACCTTATGTATTGTTTTCTATAGCTCTTCTATTTTAAAAATAATAACAATACAGTAAAGTAAAAATGAAAATGTGTACCACGAATTTCGTGTAGCTGTATTCAGATCATATTAATTATCTGATCGGGATAAAAAAAATCACAAGCAATAATTAGGATCTATGCAATTTTTAAACTAGAAATGGGCCAATTAAAATATATATATAAATATATATTTTTCAACCAGCATTTTACTACTTGTTACCTTTCCCATGCTGAATTATTTTGTTGTGATTTTGTACAGAATTTTTAATGACTTTTTATAACGTGGATTTCCTATTTTAAAACCATGCAGCTTCATCAATTTTTATACATATCAGAAAAGTAGAATTATATCTAATTTATACAAAATAATTTAACTAATTTAAACCAGCAGAAAAGTGCTTAGAAAGTTATTGCGTTGCCTTAGCACTTCTTTCTTCTCTAATTGTAAAAAAACAAAACAAAACAAAACACAACAAATTGCACAATTTGAGCAATCCATTTCACTTTAAAGTCGTCCCTCTCCTTAAAACAGAAACCAGACCCATAACACTCAAGAGGATGAAAAGAGAGATGCATTCCTTCTCAAAACAGATCCATTCATTACTTGCACAAGCTTGTATATACATATTATAAATAGATGCCAACACTCACACTCCTTTAAATCAAAAGCTGCTTGACTATCACATACAATTTGCACTCTTTCATTTTAGTCTTTTCTTTGAATTCCATAATTTTATGGAGTGTCTGAAGCTATTGATGTTTCCAGAAAATATAAATGCATGATTTTATACATAGTCAAAACAAATGGTGGTTTGTCATCTATTCATGTAATAAATCTGAGCCTAAATTTATTCAGGTTGTTAATGTTGGGATTTATACCTTATGTAGTCAGTTAGTACAGTAGCTTAAATAAAATTCAAACCATTGAATTCATAATTAGAACAATAGCTATTGCATGTAAAAATGCAGTCCAGAATAAGTGCTGTCTGAGATGTGATGCTGGTACTACTGGAATTGACCTGTACCGTAATCTTGTTTGTAATCCTGTGTATTATGGTGTAATGCACAATTTAGAAAACACTCATGCAGTTGCAATAAAAATAGTATTGAAAATCAGAACAATTGTTTCATTTATTTGAAAAGTGGTTCTTAAAGGATCAAGTTGTACTGAGGAGGATCAACTTTGGTATTTGCTGAGTTGAAAGTGTTAAGCACTAGTTGGAAAGTAAAAAGTTGAGCTTGTCCTATGTTTAGTGTGTCATCTTGCTTAGGGAGTCATCACTTCTTCATAGATAACAAATAGACCTCGCTACTGCTTCATGATTTGGAATACTGGACTGCAGAGTAAGCCAGACAAATGACTGTGCTTTTTCTTTACATTTCTTCACTTTTGGAGTAGATTTTTTTTTTTTTTGCCTGTGTGTTTGTTACCATTTGTTGAAATGATTGTCAGAAGTTTCTCTTATTTTTAAGGTGGATTTACTTAGTTATTAGCCAGAAAGACCCCAAAAGATCTTAGTTTAATTTGTTTATACATTTACGACAAAAAATTGTATAATTTCTTAGTGTTCTGTTACCTGTACATTTTCCTGAACTAAATAGCTTTCTTTCAAAACAGTGCTAGAATTTCAAAAATTATATATCTGATATTGTAGGGAGACTAAATAATTGAAAGATTCCCAGAAAATATGGCATTTTATACTTGTTCTGTAAGTGTCTTAGGATTACTTGAATAATTTTTCCACAAAAGTGTTAGTGATTTTTTTGTACATAAGAATATACTATTTGTATTCTATCTTAGGAAGGTATATTGCTCCCCAGTCTCTTTTGCAGCCCTAGCATTTTGAATTTTGATTTCATAAATACACACACACACACACACACACACACACACACACACACACACACACCACACTATAACTTAACTTCTGTCCATTGGTAAGTCCACTTAAAAAATTGTTTGGCATTTCCCTTCCCATGAGAAATGACTGACAGTCTGGATTCCTAGGGAATAGCAATTTTGGCAGTTGTGCTCTGGCTCCACTGTGGTTCCCTGATTACTGTCATTAGTAACTCCATTGTTCCTTCTCTGATTCGGATGCCACGTTGGATGCCTACCTCCCTTCCCAACCCATGTTCCTTTAATCTCCTTCTCATTGGTGATTTAAGGGTTCCAGAAAGCTGACCTCATTTAGCAAGCTGCTCCAGAAAAATGTGAGTAATCTAATGGACAGGAACAATTAGCCACAGTAATAACATTGCCAATGGGGCCACATCAAGCTGTGACAGTAGCAGTAAGGGATATTTCAATGTTCAAAAAAAAAATGAGTGTAATTTAAAATACATCATTTACACATGTTTTCCATCAGCCTTCATAATACACAGAAATACATTTAAGCTGGTCCCAACTTTATCCCAAATACAGCAGTCTCTTTCCAAATGAATCAGAACAGTTCTTTTGGAATCAAGCTGTTGCTTTCCCTACCTGGAATTCCTCTCCCGTTCTGACTTTGAGAGACATTAATGCTAATATTTGAATACTTCCAGCCTCCCAGTACAGGACATCACGAAGTGAACATTCAGATCTGATCTGTTCTATTAAGCAGCTCAATTTCACCTGTAATTAAAATTAGACATCTCCATGCAAACTAAAAACTGTTGCTATAGTGAACTGAAGAACGGAGAACAGTGGTTTAAGAATCTCAACATTTAAAACAGAAAGCAAAGACAGCTAGACTGTGGGTTTCGTAAAATGTAGAAATGAAGGATGAAGATTCCATTTCACTCTTTTTGTTTTTCATTTTGTGTTTATAATTTCACTCTGTAAGCATAGGGATTCTTTCAGTCAGTCAGGGAGTAGCTCGCATGCCACCATCTTTTATTCAAAGGCAGGCACAGATGTTCCTTCTGCAGGGGAGGTTTTAATTTATGAAAATGATATTGTTTATGCATGAATGAACTGCATGCACTCTGCATAAGACATAGCACTTCCATCTGATGGGAGAAATACCACCAAACCAGCACCAGTGTCAGAAACATATTCTACACATTTACTCACTTAAATGTTTAATGAATATTTGGAAGGCATTTTCAAACCATAAGAAATCCTTTAAATTATCTCCTTCACTTCTTTTATGAATTGTTAACCATATTTTAAAGAGACTTTTGCAGTTTTTACATTTACTTAATTCTTACATGGAGCTAATAGGAACACAGTTTGCTCCATGAAGACCAATCAACAAAGGAAGAGAAAGGGAAGGAAGAAAAAAATTCTGATAGCTTTGGCTGTATCCATGAAAAAAAAGTGTTTCTTATGGTTTTGCTGTGTGGTGCTTTTTACAGAATTTGAGTTCTGTGTTCCTTTTGAGCAATTGCTGTTCCTACCATTGAAGATGCTTGTATCTGTTAATGTTAAAGCCCCTAGAAAAGTTATTCCTAGAAGAAGCTGGCATTTAAATTTGGCAGATTATTTCATAGTTGGAGATGAAGTTTGGCTAAATTGTTTAACTAGTGTATAACTCCTATTGAATAAGACTACTCCATAAAACTTAGGTTTCATTTATATCAATTTCAATTTTATATAATATGCTGTATCTATTTTTAACCATTAAAAGGATAATTACATGCAACTTTCCATGGAAGATCACATATTCAGGATAGCCTACTAATTTTTATGTTTATAATATATTACAGGAAAATAACATTGTAATAAAATTTTAAGTAGCATAATTTATTGATTAAAAATATCAGTATGTTTTCACCATTTGAATGTCTATATAAATCCATACAAAACTGATGTGTCTTCTGCAAGATGCTTAAAATTTGCAATTACTAAAATGATATATGGATCATTAGCTAACAGTTTGAATCAAGCTGTTTTAGTTCCATAATTATATGAGAAATTTAAAGTGAAAATATCTATTAAATAATTAATAAAACCAGGTTTCAAAAACAGAGTTATTTTGTCCTAATGGGAAAATAACAAAGCTGTTTTTGAAATTACATTAAAACTCCTTTCATTTCTTTAATGCATCCATCCCCTCTTATTTCCTGAAAATCATCTCAATAAAAATTTCAATTTGAGTATCCATGAAAAAATAAAAGAGCCAATGTGACATCTTGTGGAACACCAGGACTGAGAACTCATGTTATCGTTGCAGAGAGGCACTCTGGAGTCAGATGAACAGTGATTTGTATGGTGGCGTAACCATTGGCTCCTGGCCAGGCATTATGTTTCAGAGGACACCATTGTCAGGAACCATTCAGCTAGAAATCTGCACTGTCTGCACTCAGAAGTTGAGATCATATGCCTTCCTCTGTCAGGAAGGATTCTGTGCTGGCAATTGACTCATGCACTCTCTCGAACATCCACTAACACTTGGTTCAATGGCTCTGATGGAATTAGCAGTGTAGCCAAGCTAGTAGCATTGACAAGGCCACAGTCCCTAGGGAGTTCTGAATAAATTGCTAATTTAAAAATGCCTTGAAATGCAGAATATTGTGTTAAGGATAGACTAAATCTTCAGATACATTAAGTGTGGATTTGCCTGCCTACATACTATTGTACTATTTGCCCAACTAATTTATGGATCATTTTTTATTTTAAAAGATAGTAACAATAACCATTTCTATAGACCCACAGGTTTGAAACAATCCAAAGGGATAGATCCAATTAAGGTGACATTGAGAAGAGACAGTAAGTATACTCATCTAGTCTATTTGAGAAATTCGTGTTAATGGTAGTAAAGTTCAAAGCTAACCCCGTGTGAACTTCCTGAAGGAAGATGGTGGCCCACACTAGCTCAGTGATCAATGATTTTTGTTCATTTGTACCTGGGATCATTAAAGCTGTCTTGTGTCTTCAATTACAGATGGGAAATAGCAGGAAATTCCCATGTCTGGAATTTGTTTTCGAAGCTTTCTTCTTTTAGGTTCTTATTCAAAGCTACTTCCTCAAATAAACCTTTTTTGACATTCACCTAATGTAGTTCAACAGTATCTAAAATACTCAATTATATTATGCCTGCTTTTTTTTCTTTGCTAGAGTTTTGCTCTACTCAGTATTATTTGTTTGTTGAGGTTATTCTAAACTTCCTATCACCTTGTACAGGTAGTGGGCTTTTCAAGAACAGGAACCTTGTATTTTTCCCTTGCTGTTATTATCCTGGTGATTATAGACCTAGGGGAGCCTCAGTAAATATTAATTGTCCAAGAAACCAGACTATATATCTGATGCCGGACTGTTGCCTGAATCACAGTGCTGTAAATCAGTCTGTTGAGAATGGCATGTATCACAAATGAGTCTCATCCCCATTATCATTGATTCTATAAAAGAGAACAATTGCAACTAATCTCTTATACTGTGTGATACTGAATTTCTTCTCTCCACTGAGAATCAGAAATGCTGAGTTAGCAGTCCTCTTTTCTTTTCTTTCTTATTTACCTATTGATTGATTCATTTATTTTTGCATTATTTATTTTGGTTAAATATAATTGGGGACTTGGATAAAAAGATTAAAGTACTGTAGGCTGTCTCTAGATCAGGCTTTTCCTTTTACAGATCAAGAATTCTCTTGCATTCATGCTACCCCTTTCTCTCCTATTTAGCACTCTTCTGGGCATTCCTATTATTCTATATTTAGGGCTGTATAAAATTATACCAAGCTATAATTTCTACTTTAAAATGGTCAATTTATAAACTTAGCACATTGCTGCTGTTTCTCTGGTGTTCTCTCTCAATGATGTCAGTTAAGGTTACAGTGACGTCAATGGATAGGTTTCATAGTGCTGAAGGGAACTGTTAATTCCTTTCCACTGGTGTCCTTAACAGTTGTGGGGCTTGTCTGCTCATAGGAGGAAATTATGGAACTATAAATGTGCTACGGGCATGGAGTACATGACTAAGTAATGTTCACATCCAACAATAAAAAAGATAACAGGTTGAAACAGGTTGTAACAGCATGACTTGTTATCAGTAACAAGTTCATAGGTATCATGTATGACTAAATATATGACAATAAATAATATTAATACCAAATACATATAATATATAATGAATTCTTAATAGAGACATTTAAAACATTTTTTTACCAAAGCAGTTTCTTAGTAAAGTCAAG